CATCGTTGTATTATCATCGAAGACAAAGCATTCCAAGTTCAGTGACACTACTTACGCAAGAAGGCACTAGACTCGGCATTTTAAACGTACACGTACATCACAAATAATGTGTGTTGTGTCTTGAACGCTGAGAAAACGACGGGGGGGGGGGGGGGGGAAAAATCACGCCGCAGACTCCTCGATGGAGCGGCTACTCAGATAAGACTCTACACGTACTCGAGAGCACACCGACACTCGAATTATTTTGGGATTAGGCACATAAACCGTAACTAAACTGCAGTAGTTTTTACGCGCGAATGCATTGTAATACCTTCCCATGAGGGCAAATAAAGGAAGAAAAACATGCTCTTAAACGAAAAATTTTTTATATCCGACTGCTCGTGGGTGTAAGTATATCTTTTGGTTACGAGACGCGCCTAATTTGCGATTATCACGTGGCGACCGGATAAGCCGTGTTCAAGAGGGGAAGTGGATTTATGTCGGCGGCGATGCGTTTTTATTGAGCCACTGTTAATATCGCCGTTGTTTTATTACGGGCGTTAAGAGAGAGAAGCCGAGCCCTGCATCGCGTTGCTGTGTTGTGTGTTGGACGAGGGTTCGGAGAGCCGTGGATTTATTGACACTTGTTGGTTATTTTTGATGCCACACGTGTGTGTGTGTGGTAGGACTCGCTCCGGTGGGTTTTTTCTCTTTTTGCTTCTTTCGTTGCAAAAATACAGATGCTCCCTTGCATACCAGGGAAAAAGCTTTCGCGGTGATTGATGGTTTTGGGGAGGAGAGGGTTGCTTTTTTTATCTTGGCTTGTGAGCTACTCTCGATCCTTTGAATTACAAAAAAAATGGTATTGTTAATTGCTAAGATGTTGGGGAATAATTACTATGATTTATTGTAAATAAACAAAATTCATAACAATGTAATAGAATTAATGATTATTAATTATTGTTAACTAGATTTTTTCTCCGGTAAAAAACGTATCAGTTGTGTCTCAAATATAAAGGTGAACTTGTTAGCATAGTCAAGTATTAAAAACCGGTTCGAAGACTATTAGTATAATAAACACAGACTCATGAGTATAACAACTGTCTTTTATACTACAAACAATCAGAAAACTTAAATGGAAAGTCGAAGAATAATTCTCGTGTGGAGAAAGACAAAACGGAGCAAAGATTAGAGTTTCGGAAGAAAAAGAGGACAGAGTGGCTATTCATCGATCTTCGAAAAATTGGAATTCCGTCAGAGGAAAAAGACTCTTTTGTGTATGAGTATCGGTTTTTTTTTTTCAAAAAGATAAGTATGTACGAATGACAACTCAAAACCTTTCGAGAAAAGTAAACGAGATTAGCTGTTACGTGGGATTTACGTCACATAAAAATCTTTCATTTCCGTTTACATTGTAAGGTTTATCTTTGATATTCATCTCATGCCATGGAAAAAAAAATTACGAGTAAATTAAAATTTTAAGTAGTTGCGTCAATACACAAAATAAAACAAAAAATGTTTAACAAAAAAAATTGAACGTTAAAGATACTGCGATATTTTATAATAGCAACGCCCACATTTCTTAATAAATTGGACACAAGTAACATGCTTCAATATCGCAGTTGGAATCCCCCCTGAAGTTGATAAAAGCTAGAAAAACAAGTGACCTGATAGTTGTATCGCGTTCCGACGTAACTCGTGTGGAATAACAAACATCTTAAAGAAACAGAAAAAATAAAGATGTAAAATAAAAAGAAATCACAAATCGTATCAAGGAGGGAGGGAGAAAACAGACGAGTAATCCCGTCCAAACGGACTGACCATTACCGATTAATCAAATCGTTGCTTCGCTACGTGCGTAGCATACAAGAGCGACGTATACGTTGTAGATACACCACAAGTGAGAGTAATCGATAATTCGTTCGACGGATGCTTCCATGAATAATCACCGTCGCATTGTAACCACTGATACATTGACAATAGGTTATTCACGGGGATCATCCAGTAGACAATCGCGGTACAGCTGCGATGCAAACTTTGAAATAATAATACTCGGAAACGAATGTGTGTATGTTTTTTTGTGCAAAAAAAGGAGGACCGCGTAGGAGTACAAGACCAAGGGGAAGAGAAGCAGAAAAAAGCTGTTCGCAAGGACATAATGAGGGCTCTAGACTACCAGAGTCGGTATACCTAAAATCCGTGGAGATGAAAAAAAAGGTCTTTAAGAAGAAGAAGAAGAAGTAAAAGTTTGTATTCTAGCTCTGTATACGGTAGCAGTAACACAACGTTTGCGCCACATCCGGTTGTGGGATCGTATCCGTCACGAGACTCGGATACGCGTGTCTATGTGTGTATATTTACACGTACACACGCCCATCCGACTTTTGCTTCCCCGTAACCCTTTCCATATGGTACGCGCAGAAGCACATCAAATCTCTCGATCGTCGTAAACATTTCATGTCCGACTGACCCTCGCTTGTACTCTCCGTTCTCGCTCCCTTTGGAGAAATTGGGCCCCGGCACACAGCAGTGCACCACCACGGCACATCACTCAATTATCCTATCAAGCGACTGCTGATTCATCATCATCATCATACGTACCTACTCTCGCTCGCTTTCTCTCCCTAATGTGTCTTTATCTGCTATTGTTGCTGCTGTACGACAGAGTATGTACAGCAGTACCCATTTTTTTTTCTCACTCGCGTGCGACGCCGCATTTATCGTCCTCTGGCCCTTTTTCTTTTCTCTTTGCTTTCCCCTGTAGCTAATGTGATTTGCTTCTTGCTGGACTATTTTTTGTTCGCAGGACAAGATTTGCGAAAACTATTTTTCCGACAATGACTTGCATTTGAGACACGTGGTATGGTTTATCATTAAGTAATAATTTTCAATCATTTGATACGTGTATACAACACGAAATGAAAACTATGGATGTGTGCTCGAATAAACAATAGCCAAAATATTCAATGTGATCACAATTTTTGCTCCGCCATATCAAGTACAGTCCACGTAATTTTTTTTAGAGGCCGCGTACATAATGTGCTTCCATAATATGAGCTTAGACGTATGGGGTTTCGTACGAGAGTATGATTTACGCGCGAGCGTGTAAGATGCCGTGGAGGAAAATTAAGTGTAAATTTATGCTGATTTGCTCTTTGTTGGCTCGTAGAAGATTCCAACCGAGACCACGAGAATTAGAAAATTGGGTGCCTCGTTTCGTGCGACACGAGTATGGGTGGATATTAATACTTTGTGTATCGTGTGTCAAACCCCAATCGAATTACTCGTTTGTCTTTTTTTTTTTCTTTCTCTAAATTCGGAAAAAAGTTGTAATTGTACATTTATGCTCGTAAAAACACACGGTTCAAGAAAATACACAAACGTCGTACCCGCCCACACGATCTTGCAGTGTTATTCCAGGAACAAGTGTCCCTCATGAGTCGCATCGACAGCGGGAATCTTCTCTCTACGTCCCAGTACAACCACCAGGGCGATATGCGCGCGTGTATGCGTTAAGCCTACAAACGAGCTTTCCACACTCCCTTAACGTGTGCACACTGTTTACCCAACACGCCCATAGTGCTGAAAAGTATAAAGGGGAAAAAGTGCGGGTAAAGTAAAACAATACTGTCGATCAAAAATATTTTACTTTTTATACTTGAAAGCTCCAAGCAAATATCGATTTGGTTGTTTGGTCCAAAAGGCTCTTTGATCGCGGGTAAACAGATTTAAATCGGAGAAGAAAAAAAAGCCATCACGAGTTTACAAAAGACGGAGGCATTATGTATACCTACCACCCATCACCCGAGAATGCCTTTGGACTCCATGTAGTCCATCCACGCGCCGCGTCGTAAAAATAGTCCAAGAAAGTGCAGTGTCTGGCGGGTCGTCTTCCGCGAGCGGCCAAAAGTCGACGTACCGGAGAAAATGTGTATACACACACGCGCGCAAAAATAATAAAGGGCCGTGTCTCGCGAGGGTGCGCGCTCGTGTACGTACACGCACGTTAAAGTTGACGAGCAGAAATAGTCCCGCGGCTGCAATACACCGCGTTGTGGGTGGAACGGGGCCTCGCGAAAATTTCAAAACGAGTAAGCGCGCCGACCGAGGTCCCTTTTGAATATTTATTTCGGGACGGCGGGCAGGGCAAAAAGGGTTGTGGGAGGATGTCTGCTCTGCGTGTCGGGTGCATTGTGGCGCTGTTACGGGACGCTGTTCGTTTTATTTTTCACCGAAGGAGCGCCCGGATTAATAATGGCCTTTATTTTTCGCCCCCTCTCGGGTTGACGAACTCCACGTCTAGCCGGTCGAGCTCTTCGGCCGGTCATTAGTTTCCTCCTTTCGTTACTCCCACTCTGGGCTGAACACCCTATTTCAAAGAGTTACCTTATTTACCGATTAGCGCAAAGATTTAGCATTTGTGATGAACCGAGAAACTACATCACAAAAAAAGAAGAATCACTAAACGATGGCAAAGCAATTGTGAGTAAAAGTAGCGCCAAGTGTCAACCCGACGGAATCGTAAGTTTACGGACACCACGAGGTCACGTTCGCGCGGAAGATGTCGCTAGTCTTCCCGTTCAAACGGATCACGCACTTGCTATTATCGTGCGCCGCACATAAAGTTTGAGTAATTGAGTGGAGCAAAATTGTTGCAGTTGAAGATTTTTACGGTTTGCTGTAAAATAATGCTTCCTGCACCTACGTATAGCTCGGGAGGACGTGGTGGTCCAGAATGGGCCGTAAAACTGAATTGAATCATATAGTCTGGTGATAAACTGTTACGAGAGATCCCACGATTATTTTGTGCGTGTTTTTGCCTCAAACGAGCAAAAATTATTTTTTTATAGTATGTCATCAAAGTAATCCCTGATCAATCATTTGAGTAATAATCCAGGGTCCTTTAACACCGGTGACCCAGTTAACAGTGCACCCATCGCCTAGTTAAACTTCCCCAAAATAACGAAGTCGATCAACCAATAAAAAAATACGTAGCGAATCTAATTTCTTATACAACTTACCAAGTCTGTTGTGTCTGGATGCCGAGGGCCTCGCCACGTCGCACTCGGTGGCATCGTCGTTCTCGTCGACGAGGTCCATCGATCTGTGTGGCTGGGTCCGCGAGGCCATGGCCGTGGATGCCGCAATGGCAGATCTCTCCCGTTCCATGAACGTGCCGATCGAGTGGCGTCTCTGGTGACTGGTTTGCTGCTGCTGGTGCTGCTGGTGCTGCAGCCTCTGCCTGTTGGCGTTCACGTGCGATTGGCTCTTCTGTCACCGAAAATATTTTATCGAATACAGTAAGTATTATATGGACGATATGGTCAAAGTATCCTAAATCTATGGACTCTGCATAGCTTTACTCGTGATCCATTATCGCACTATGTACACGTGGCTAATGAATCATGGGTATAGCTGTCACGCGTTAGATTTTGGAAAACCTATACCTTCTAAAACTAAAGCAATGATAATTCGGTCACTGATTCTCTATGAATGGCTATTTGCACTGTTCAGACATGAAAATTCACCCAAATTTTCATCACCGACCTGAATCAGTGGATATTCAATAATTCACATTGATAGAGTATCATGGACAGTTTTCTGGATGAATAAAGGTCTGTGTCATCCTTACCGTACTGGGCAACGTGGACGTGAGATTGTAGTAATTCCTCTGGCCCATGATCCTGACCTCGTCGAGCGGCAGAGTGCTTGCCTCGCTGGCGCACTCGGACCCGGTGCCGAATTGGTAATAATCCTCGTCCTCGATGCACCTGGACAGTCCAGATGCTGTGCTAGAGCCGTTCTCACTCGACAGCCCATAAAACGAGGCCACGTCCCTGCAGATCTGCGGCTCGCCGTTCTGCTTTGGCCCGTACCGACGCCTCGATCTGTTTTTTAAAGGACACAATAGCACTGGATTATCAAAAAAAAAAAAAAAAAGAAAAAAAAAAAGAACACCCCAAAATTACCACTACGTACCTGAAGCAGGGTGACGGTGGTGCTATGTCAGTGGGTAGCGGCTCTCCCTTGAGGAACTGCCTGGTCTTCTCGCAATCGGCGCTTGCACTGACGGACCTGAACAAGCTCCTGAAGCTCCTCCGCTGGCCCGTACTCGCACCCGAGGAGTTGCCCTTGGCCAGTTGCTGGGCGCCAGTGGTCAGCACTGGCATGCCGTTCCTGTCGGTCGTTACGACCGGTGGCATCTTGGGGTGCTTGTTGCGCCGGAAGAAGCCGCCAAAGCTCCGCTGCGAGGAGGAAGTGGCTGGAGGCGACGCACTGGTCTTGGAGTCACCGCCACGTAGCGAAAAGTACGACGGATTGTCTGAGGGGGATGAGCATGTGCAGATAATACAGTGAAGAATCGCAACGAATCAGTTTGCTTTTGCCGATTGTGATGATGGACGAGTGGTTGGATGTGGCGCGTGGTCGAGGTGGGGAAACGATTCGCTGATCTTGCAGGATCGAGCGAAGGAAACAGATGGGCTCTCTGGTCTTGGTTCTTTTTTTTTTGTGGAGGACTCACGCGAGCGTGATTAGGGCCAATTGCCGGGAATTAAAAGAGAGTTTCGGCCCGTTTCTTTTATTTATTTCTCTTCCTGGTGGGCGGCGAAAGGCTTTCAAGCCCTCGCTCTCGACTTTGTGCCTTTTTTCCCTTCAATTGCTCGACCAGAAGAGGAAGTTACTGGGTTTAATCCCTCGGATTGGATCTACTTACGTACACCCACACAATGTGAATCGGTGCACGCTTGGTATGGTTTTAAAAATCCCAAGTGTAAATCCCCTTTTTCCATTGATTTGCGGAGACGTGAATTTTTTTTATCATTAGGGGTAAAGATGTTGCTTCGGCAACGTCCAAAGCGCTACTAGCCGTAGGACCCGCGAATAGCTCTCTCGTCAGTCCTCGCTTGTGCAGTAAGAGACTTCACCCAACATGCAACCCACAGCTCGACATGAAACTTTGAAACAACTCGAGCACACGTACCTACGAGCTAAATTAGATGGCCTCTATTCGTACACGCGACTCTCCCCCTTTCTCCCGAAATGAAGCCGAAACTTGCGCAAAACAGTCCAGTGCGGAGTTTGAACGGACTGGTGTGTAATTTCAGCGCCAAGAAGGACAACGGCGCACTATCGGGCAAGTGGCGCGAGTCTCTCGCCGCAGCGAGATAACTTTTGCGAAACTCGTACAGTGGTAGACTCGAGGAAGTAGTGCAGTCGTCGCCGATGCAGTATAGAGAAGAAGGAGGAGGAGGAGGAGGAGGAGGACCGGACGCTGCCATTGTGTATCTGAGCGACGTCGTGCATATACACACACGCAGACGGTACCGCCTCGGCCATCCGAGACGAGAGAAGAGGAGATTGAGCGCCGACAAATGCACGTGCTGAACTGCCTCACTGTATATATACCTATATGTAGTGCAAGCGAAGGGAGGCTCGGGAGATAATGAATGGTGTGTGTGTGTGTGTGTGTGTATTATACGCGACATGTCGGGCTGAAAAATACACGAGCCGCCGAGGAGCTAGGAAATATATTATACGCCCAGCGTGCACCGGAAGCCCCGGAGCGCCCAACTGTTTTGAATTAAGGAAGCTGTACTTACTACTTTCTCTCTCTCTTTCTGTACGTCTCGTCATCCCTTCCCCCCTCCCCGTTGTTTAATTACTTTCCGAAGACCTCGGATGTTTCTCTAGATGTGCACGTATGTTTTTTTCGGAAAACAAGTACAAGAGAATGAAAACCGCTTTATTACGAGCTTGCTCCTGTCGCTTCAAAAGTAATCCGGGATAGATACCTCTGTCGGAAGGAGGATCCTGTAACCCCCCCGTGTCTCCGTATCCTCGAGGTAGCCGCAGCGCCACAAAAGCACTTCTCGCTGCCCAGAAACCGATAATACACCTATACTCTCTACGGTTTTTTATTGCTCTGGGCCATCAGGAGAGGATCAAAGCAGCGTGATCCGATCATCGACAAAGGATCGAGCTTTACGTGGATACAGATGCGTGTACGTGTATTTGTGTGGACAGTGAGCTTCTCCAGAGGTGGAGGTGATTTTATACAATACGGGAGTTCAAAGGGGTGGCGTGTGTTTGTATCCACTTTTTTTTTCTCCTCGCAGTGATAACCATCACCAACTTGGACTGCTTGGTGTTTTCGCGGTGCTACACTGGTTCGTCTCCCGCTTTGACGTCTTTTCACGGGGGAAAAAAAGCGTAGTGGGTGTTTTTGGGCCACAGCTTTGCCTTGCAATCCTGTTAGCTGCTGGAGAAGCGGTATTTTTCAGCGCCTCGAGCGGTTTCACCGCGAGTTTATTGCGTTAATTTCGAGAGCTTGGAATTTCTTTTTCAGGTGAGGATTTTCTTTTTCCGGGTCAGGAGGAAACGAGCGCGAAAGACTTGGGACTTGGCGTACGGCAAAGCGAAAAACTGGGTTCTTTCTCGAGTTTACGTGTTACCATTTTATATGGTAAAATAAAAGAAATTTGTGTAGGTTATTTCTTTTTTTTTTTTTTTTTTTTTTTTTATTTTTTTATTTTTTANTTTTTTTTTTTTTTTTTTTTTTTTTTTTTTTTTTTTTTTTTTTTTTTTTTTTTTTTCATTCAGATATACAGGGCAATGTACAGATGCACACCGAAGCACTTTGTCGATCCCGTGCGTACGACACTCGCACGGTTTCCTCGAAGCCAGGGGTGTCAAGACACCCGCGCTACAAAAATACGCCCACGACGGAAAAGAAAGCAGCATAGCAGAAGGGGAGAAAAAAGCAATCGCAGAAATAAAATCATCCTTCAGCACCCAATAGGGAAATAGGTGCGCAGCAAAAGTACACGCGACAACAGCTATGACAACGAAGGGGAAAAAACATCATCAGCGCTATAACAGCCGAGAGAAAAATAAAAAAGGCTCGCGTGCGGGAGAAGCGATGACGCAAATGAACGAGAGAAACATGGAATATGTACGTGATTGCTTTGCACCGACGTACGTATAATATAATATGGTTGGTATAGGGTGTGGGCTTAGTATACGAGTGCTTAGCATGCACCGTGTAAAAAGGGCCCGTGGTCGTCGTTAGATTGCTCGGACGCGTGGCAGGTACGTGCATAGTGTAGGTTTACTGCGGGGAGGAAGTGCTGCAGCGCTAAATTATTTCCCGCGTAGAGAGATTTAAAAGTGTGGAGAAAGTTTTTTTTACAATAAGTTGTTCGATGATCCAATGTTGAACTTTTGCCAAGTCGTAACTAAAATCACTTCATATACATTCACTATCATGCTTTAATCTTTATGTTTATTAAAATTCAATATGATCAGGAAAAAATACACAAGATTACTGATGTGTAGTAGGTTTTTGTCTATGGAGCCCAAAATAGTATAACTTGAGCGCCCAAAGTGTCAAACTCCATTTTTTTTCTTACCGAGAGTACAAAGTGCTGTTCTACACCTCAAGACCTTCTAATGTTTAAAATAACAACAATTATGCCTTGGAAAAAGTCATTTCTAAAGAGCGGTCGATTAACTTCAAAAGAAAACTAAAAAAAGTTGCGTTAACCGCATCATATTTTCAGTGGTAATTTTTTTGAGTAGGAATTTTTCTACTGATATTAATTGTTCTCTATGATGTTTTCTTCGTAATAACTGTGGCATCTCGAACTCAATACGTTCGTGGTAAGATTAGAGTCTGATATCTCTACCGATGAGTCTATGCCCGTCGACACACGGTCGATGTCTAATTGTTGGTGTACGCGGAGGCGCTCTATTGGGAAATCAATCACGGAGTCCTGTGCTCGCGACCAAGTGTGCATATGGTTGTGGAAAAAAAAAAATGGTCATTTTTATTTTATTTTGCCGGAGTCGACGAATGACGTAAGCACACGGCAAATGATTAGGACTCGACGCGTGTCCACCACCAAGGACGTGAGCCGAATCGCCGACTAGGCACGGCTGGACTCATAAGTGTTTTGTCAGGGTCGCAGTGGCGAAACTGGGAGCTTTCGTCGGATACGAGAACGAGCGAGGTGAGTTTGAAAGTCTCTCGAGGGATCGGTTCGGGGAGAGTGGGAACTTTGTTCATTTCGAAGTTGCGAGTGGGTTTGATTAAGATTTTTTGGGTCGCAATCACAGCGTGTAAATGAGCTTGCAGAAGGAAAATGCACCAAAGAATTTGTCTACGAGATGATTTTTAGGGGGTAGTTTCATCCAATCGCAAAAGTATATATTTGAGATGAATTAAAAACTCAGGAAAAAAAAAAAATTAGTAATACTCACCGACAGCCATGTTGAAGGATCTGCCTAAGACTTGCGAGCCTCGAGTTCACCCAGCCACCTGTAACAAACAAAAAAGCTCCATTAAACAAACGACCTGATGATAGTAAGTCACCCAACATCCGCCCATGTAGTTTAGTGCATCTTCGCTGACGTACGACGTACCTTAAACTTCAGCGCAGCCCCCGAAACCCCAAAATAACCCCCCTCCGCCCCAATTAGAGTTCTGCTACTGCAGACGCGCCATAACCGCATCCGTTTCCCTGGTCTCGCGCTAAACTCGATCGACGAAACGCAAACAGCCCTCCCCGAGAGATAGCGCGTATGGAAACCAAAAGGTCCCTTTTCCTTCGACACAATTAAACGTGAAAGCTATCCCCTCCCCACCATCACCTCCACTTCCATTCATCGCTCGGTGTATAAATACAGCCCATACAGCTCGACTGAATCTTATTTATAGCCCACGCGCGCAGTCTCCCTTTTCCCTGCGGATCCATTCACGCTCTCCCCCGGCTGCTGTTTGTCCTACCGATGTTTGCTTTCGCGCGCCAACTTTTCTCTCCACCGGCGATCACAGTTTCGCGTCACGTTGCCCGCGATGCATTGTTCTTCATCGGCGCCTCTTTTTACACGTTTTTTTCTCTCTCTCTCCTGCGGAGAATCAGGCTGCTTTGGGTATACCTACATACACGGGGGTGTACCTGGAAAGAGCAGTAGGTCGGCTTTTGTGTCGGCTTTTATCTGACGGACGCGCTGTACAGAAAGGGTCTCCTCCCTATCTCTCTCTCTTTTTTTTTTGTACTTCGCGATTCTCCTCACTCGGCATTGACAGCTCGATGAAGTTGTACAAGGCGACTGATTGGAATAGCAACGAGGACGCTGCAGCTGTACGGGGGCTGATTTTCACTCGTTCGTTTTTGGGATGGACCGACACGTGGGGAGTTGCCTCACGTTTCTGGGAAATCACAATGTATAGCCATACAATGATTGCACATTCATCGTGTACCCATAATAAATTTTGGAGCTTAATATAGGGGTGGGTCGAGTAGTTTACATTACGTGTTGGAAAAATAAAGATTTTTTATTTGGTCAACCCCTTGCTTCGTTGTAGATAATTTAATTTCTTAACTAGAACGTGTTTGGTAGGACAAGGTAGCTCTAATAAAACATTACTCTCTTTTTTTGACTGGAAAATCAAGCAAATGTCGCAGATTGGAGAGAATCGAGCTTTTCTTGCCTTAATTTTAATTTTAATTGTATAGGCCAAATTTAATTAAGCAACTTGTTGGCATAAGTTGCGCTAGCAGGTGCCACCAGTTTCCTCCAAACTGGACCACATCGCGTGACTATACGACAGCACAGACTCCTCCTTTTGTCGGCTCAGCATAGCGGCTTCCATCGCCGCCGTCTCGGCCGGAAAAAGCCGTAAGCTCGAGCTCTGAAAGCACTTTCTTTCTCCCGAGACCTTGGCACGTCGCGCGTGATTTTCGCCCTCGCGTGTGCGTGTTTGCGAGCTTTTACGAGAAGCGGAGATGAGAGTGATGAGGGGAAAAAAAAAATAAACAAAAAGCCTCTACGTGGAAGGAGGGGAAGTGAAAGATGGGCTGGGGAGGAGACAAAAAAAGGAAGATAAGTGTGACGAGCCAAGAGGGGGTGAGGTATAGATGGAGGAGGTAAGGAGATGGAAAGTTCGAGTGGATAAGGAGAACGAAAGTAGGTAATATTGTAGGCTTGGACGTTGTTGATACGAGGATGTTTGCTCCCGCGAGCTTTTCATCTTTGCTGTTGGTCCGATCTTATACGATCAAACGTCACTTGATTAAAGGGTGGTAAATTTCAAGTTATAGCCACACTGCTTCGTCCTTTTGTTTTCTCCATTACATCACGATGGAGTATTTTAATTAAAAAAGGAAATTTTTCAATCAGCAATTCCTACGGAGTTTAATCGAGTTCGTCTCACGTTTCCAACAAGCGCACACTCATCGGTGGAAGTCGAGATTGGTTTGAGTTTGATTAATTTTATAACTTGTTGCAATGAAAAAAAAAAAAAAAAAAAAAAAAAATCTCATCGGCACAAACACAACTCTTACATTACTCGGAAAACGATCGTTTGTAGTCTCATTGTTATACTCTGCAGAATGCGTGGTTTACACAACGCTTGGATGAATGGCTGTTGAGACGAATTAATCAAACGAGCTCTTGAAAAACGCACGGTGTACCGTTTTATTGTTTTTTTATTTTTTTTATTTATTTTTTTTTTTTTCTGCGTATGGAATGATTGTCATAACAACAACAACATATTATCACACGAGTACGTTTCAGCAGGTCAATACCAATTTACTATACGAATTTCCATCGTATGGAGTACACAATAGCAAATACAATAGGGGAAGTGCTCACATTTATAAACACATTGTAACGTAATAAGCTTAGAAACGGTAAAATCAGTATAGGCAGAGCAGATCGGTAAAGAGCATCATCGACGAAAAAATTGTTATAAACGATGAGAGGGGAAGAGAGGAAGAGATAGGAGGAAGAAAGACGAGGGCAAAGGGAGGTAAGGTTGGAGGGTAAGAGAGTTGATTGCACGCAAGCGGCATCTATTTTAAGCCACCCATCCCCCTGGAGTACGTCGTCGGCCGAGAAGAAAGAGGAAGGAGGAGAAAGAAGCATTGGTTGCTCCGATGGTGAGTACATGTGAGGGAATTCTCGATGGTGCGGCTTAAAGATGATGGATTCTTCGAGAGATATTCAAGTTTTTTCATGATATTCGATCGTTGCATTATTGGCAGGGGGATGATGAATATTCAGAATTTAGAATTGACTTTTTATTGTGTGTTAGATGTAAAGAAAGTTCTAAAATTGTGTTACGGTAGTTTATTGAGTATGATAATCGATAGTTTGGTCAATTTGGACAAAAAGTGTGAAAAAAATGCCGATACAAACAGTTGTGGTTACTTTTTATGATTACATTTCCATGTGGTGGTTGATTGCTAATACATTGAACTGATCAACAATATGGATAGATTACAGAGAAAAAAGTATAATAAGAATATAAAACTAAAACCACCTCTCTTTGTGTTGAAAAAAAAAAAAAAAAATCAAAGAAGTGCTTTTGAGGATGTAGAGGATGTAGGAAGTAGAAAGAGAAGGCTAGAGACCTAAAAATTCAATCCTTGGTATTACAGAAAAGCTCATTTTTATGCAGGAGCGCGTACGCGTCAAAAAGTCCCCCTCGATAGACCTATAGCTCTAAACTATATATATGTATAGGTATGTAATATGTTGTACACAGATGTCATTTAAGCTCATCTACACCTGCCCACGACTAAGTACCTCATACACATATAAGTGTTTATACTGTACGCGTGCCGTTACAGCATTTTTGGACCAGTTGGGTGCATCTGCCTCATCTCTCGTGTGTCATTTTTTTTTTTTTTTTTTGGTATTGGAGATGTATATGTTCGAGGGGATGCTAGAAGTTGTTGCAAGGGTACTGGAGTTTTTGTTCTTCCATAAGTAAGTAGACCGTATTTTTTTCATAACTTCAACAGATTTTATTATCATTTTTTTAAACTGTATTATTATTATTATTAATAATAATATTAATAATACAATAAATATATTATTTTGACAAAATTTTACGAGCTATGTGATTCACGTGTATCACTTGTGTTCACGTCAATATTTGCATTTACCCCATGATCCATACGCACACACGTGAATTGTTATTCTATACGATCGAGGAATACAATAGATTATCTATATTTGGAGCGCAAGTATTTGTATGTAGTATTTTTTTATAACACACGCACGCACACACCACTTAGATAATCGTCCCGCTCCATAGACGAGTGATTGCATCACAAGTGAATTATAGAATTAAAGTCTTGAGAGCCGAGCTCGCCTTGGTACAACACAGGCGTCTTTAACTATAGGAAAAATACGGCCCAATCTCGAGGAAGAGGGAGAATATTGTCCTATTGCGCTCATACTCTTTCTCTCCTCGTCGCGTCTTCCGAAAGTTCGAATGATTCATAGGCCACGATTACGACGTCATAAACATCATTTTTATTACGTTAAAGATGATTTAGGACTGTCTTTGGTCTCCCTCGGGGTAGTTGTTCACGGGCAATTTTTTTTTTTTTTTTCTTTAATCGTACATGCCACAAAATAAAGTGCATTTTACGTTTATACTGTGTTAAAAAGTAGGGAAAAATTGACATTTCGGTTTGCGTAAGGTCTCATGGCTACATGCAGGTGCAAAACTTTTTCTACGAAACATACATCCCCTAAAAGCACAATCTATCACCATAATAGCTTCATCGGCATTTTTTCCCTGTCCCTCTGTTCATGACGGAGTAAAAAAAGCACATCCATAAAAAAAATCGGCTCAATTTTGATCGCTTTGTTTCGCAGCTGAAAAAAAGCATACTAGGTCGATATCACGAGCGCCACTCGTGTCTTTGGAATAAAAACAACGAATAAAAATTCATGTGGCCTTATTTTACACGCATATATACATGTATATGCAGGGAGACGCGTGCTCGGTAAAAAAAAGCTAAAGTAAAAGAAAGACCGAGTAGGGGCGTGTAAAATGCGTACCGGGTGCGTAAAACCGGCAGTAAACAGCAGAGCAGCTGTGCGCGTAAATGGTAAACCTTCGGTTGGAGCACGAACACTGTCGAAGCTATAGAAAAAGAGAATAATATAAAAACAAATGCGCGTTCCTTCATACGAGTGAACTAACTTTTCGTCCATTAGTTGATGACACAAGTGCGTACAGTGTCTCACGATGAACTTGCACGATTTCCGATAAACCGGGCCATACATTGGACGTGTAGTAGGTAATCGATGACGATAAAAAGCAAAGCGAGAACGACGAGGGGCCATGAGGAAAGAGGAGCCGACCGGGGCCTTGGCTATATATATGGTATAATATAAGTAGGGTATATATGCGCACGTGCTGCCCATATGGCGGGCGTATAGGGCCCCCCAACGATCACGCGGTACCTTCACTCCTACGCGCGGCTTCTCTTATTTTTTTATTTTTAATATACATGTATATACAAGTATTTTTTTTCTAGGAACCATCTCGGTTTCTTCCCCCCCCCCTGACCTTTGGCTTGTCCTCCGAAATTTCGCTCCTTGCTTTTCGTCAGTGGGTCTCTGTGTGCAGAGCTAAGGGAGGCTATGGGTCCTGTGCACGCATCGGTAACCGGAAATGCCCATATTTATGCATACCTATAGAATTCACTTATAATTGTCAGATCAGCGCTGTTGCTCAATTTTATGGATTGGTTATTGCCGTTGCAGCACTGTCTCTGTTGGCGATGCAGGCGAGCTATAGACCAAAGGAGATTGATTATTCGGGGGGAGGGAGGCTTGTAACATTGCCGGGAATCATCAGTCGAGTGCAGGGTGTGTTGGTGTCGCGTGAGAAAATGTTTTGGCTCGAATAGTTGCCGGATCGCGAGTGCATACGTTATTGTACCACTGTTCACTCGACGGAGCGTTTTCGATGCGGGTGGGTCACGGAGGGGGAAACACGCACAGATTGACGGTAATTGGTGCGAGCAGCGATCGCTGCGTTATTGACGAGCTTTTGATTTATCGTGCGAAACCGGCGTTAATACCGATTTCACGTTATTTTTACCATCGAGTAAAAAAAGTCAAGAAAAAACAAACGATCGCATATACTTATAATTACCGATTAATCGTTATAAATACCAACGAGATCGGATGAGCGATGAGAAGCTGTAGCGCGGTGACGGTCTCTCGCGATTTTAATTCCCGGCCGATTGACCTTTTAATTAATTTTAAATTGCCGTGATTGCTATTGGCCTCGATCGCAGCCCCGTTAGCTTGCAAGCTCGACCTACTTTTCGCTCTTCGTGGCTTGTATAGAAAAAAAAAAAAAAAGAAAAAAAAATTAAAACAAGCCCTTGGATACAAAGTAATTGAGTTTATCATACACGCACACACGAAATATTCTCATTAAAACATCGGACCACCGCTGCCGCTACCGTTTGGGATATGGCTCGCGAGAGAGGGGAGCAGCAAGCGGCTAGCTAATCGTCTCGAAAATAGACCAAACAGCACCATCTCTCTCTCCTTTGCTCTGGCAATCGCATTAATTTCGATAATGCGCGCGTCCTCGGCTCTCTTGATACCGCACGCTTGTATATATATAAAATCACGTATTTACGCAAATTATTGTGCAAGAAGAGAGAGGCGCTCGAGAGAAAGAGCGATAACGCGTGCGCGTGTGCAAGTGTGATGTGATTATTTATAGTTTGTTTACCCCGAACGAGATGACTCCCGAGACGAACTCCTCCGCTTATACTTGAAACTACGTGTACTCACCAGAGTATATATCTCGGAAATTGTGCTGTTAATATCGCGATCGGCTGCAATCTTTACTACCGATCTTCATCCTTGTCGCAACTGGCCATTTACTTTTTCGTGACAACCATACAATGAGGTATATGTATGGGTAAAAGAAAAAAAAAATGTGTCCACAGTCGGCAGAGATCACGTTTCACCCATTGCTAGTCCAAAGATCAAAATTCCAGAGCCCCAAGCCGGCAGAGAGTATTCCGAGATGGTACGGCGCACCAGCTGAGTATCACGTGCACCGGCGATCGATTTTTTCCGATAACACCGCCAGAGTCCCGGTGCTACCGATCTGGCCGCCATGTGACGGACAGCGACGAAAGACACACGCACGCGCGCGCTCACCGACCCCTTGGAAACGTATATCCAAGTGTCTGTCCCTGTCTGGCACAAAGGTTCGCTCGTCGACGACCAAAGCGTCGAGACCGACTGACCGGCCAGGCAGAGCCGCCCACTCGTCTGCTGCTTCTGTGTGTTTTTCTCTCTCTTTCTTTTGCTACCAAATCCAAACGTATACAGGGAAGGGGGAACGGGTGGGTGTATGTGCATGTGTTGGGGGGGGGGGTATACCGGTGCACTACTGATGGTATGAAGCAATTGGTATAGATTGACAGGGTGAATCAGGACAGAGCGACCGGGGGGTGAGAACTGACTATTTTTTTTTTTTTTTTTTTTTTTTTCATCCTAAAATAGGACGGCAATTGACTTTTGAGGAAAAGAGGCAAGGGGGATCTCTCAAATATCGATGTTTATTTTCAGTTCGCGAGTGCCGTTTTGGGCCACGATTTTTGCATGCGTCGGGCTTGTAGGATTTGTTTTCCTCGTACGTAATTTATTTCGAAAGCTATGTATTTTTTTGCACAAATGTAATTTCAGCTCGGTAACGAGACGGGGGTAAAAATAGCACCCTCGGTTCTATTTTATCTCCACGAGGTGTGTGCGCGTGAGGCTCCGACTCACCCCCCCCTCTCCGGAGTTTCATTATTCGTGCAGTTTGGCGAAAATTGGCTCTTCTTTTCCTTGGAAAGGCGTATGGAATCTCAACGAAAGGTATCAAAAAAAAGCTCCCCTGCTTCAAAAGATGCGTTTGCAATAAAAAAAAAAAAAAAAATATCTCAAAGACGATGAAAGTTATACTTCACCCAGCAGTACAGAGGATCAAACGTCTCGAGTGAAATGGATGATTATTAAGTTGACAAATCGAATCAACGGTCGTTGCCGGTACGCCACACGCGTACTTAAACTTTGCCGCTTTCGTTTAATCGGACTTTTAATTCCTCCCAGCGTTGCGCAACTGCTCCGCTCCCTCTCTCTTGTTGTGAATTTTTTTCACTTTGACCGAAATTTTCTAAAAAAATAAACCGCGCTCTCGTCGCGTCGAAAACAACGATTTTTCATTTCATTTCCAACGAAATCTGATGAAATACAGCCTAATCGTACAAATCTGTGCGTCATTGGGTGGCAGAAAGGCGCTCATCCAAAAGGGAAAAAAAAAAAAACAGAAGGAAGGAATCAGCTGACGATTAAACCGAGCCGAGTCTCTGCCAAGTCGAGACGGCCCCGCATCGTTACGTGAACGGCGATGTAAACGTGTATCGAGTCTCTTCGTATAGATTCTCTAAAACTGACGGCAATAGCGTGTGCGAATGCACACAAATGTTGTAAAAATCGTCCATTGTTGAACATTATACGTAAGCTCACCTGATCCGTACTAAAATTAGCGAGTGCACATAGCAATGGAAAGTCCCTCGTCTCCCGCTTGTTCTCATTGGACTCTTGAACTTGAACCGAGCACCTCGAGAAGACGCGCACAAAAAGCTCCGAGGAAACCGATCGGCGACCAAGACGGTTCTTCTCTACAGTGCGAAAGTAAAGAAGAAAAAAAACCACTCTCTTCCGTACACCGATGTCCAGTGGCCCAAGTTGTACTTGTGGTAAACAGCAAAGCTCTCGAGTGTTTTTTTTTATTTATTTTTTGTATTTTGGGAGCTCACACACACACTGGCGCGCACAAACGCGCACTTTGAGAGTGAGATAAAGAGATGGTTGGAAAGACGCGCGGCCCCGAGTGCCAGCGATCGACTAAACGAGTCTCTTCCTCTGCCTGCTCTGCTTAGCTGATGGTGATGCGTGTTGTGGGTATACCTATAATGTATATATATATACATACAGACACCCGAGAGTGCCAGTAGCGCACAGTAGCGCATGTATGAGCACACGCGGTGAGTTGTAATTCTTCTCCTCCTCCTCCTCTTTCTCCTCGGAGAGATGAGATGCACGCAGAAGGGCTGATGCTGCCGCCGAGTATATATATACAAGTATACGGATAAGCTGCGGCTTAATGGTACAATGCGTATATATATATGTATAGTATATATGGGGGAGGACCATGTTTGTGTTTTGGGCTGCTGCGAGGGATTTATTTTTCGTGACTGGAATATGGGTATTATAGACGCTTTTGGGTTTTTATCGTCGGTTGTGGGTATTCCTCCCGTCGGCTTGACGAATCGGACTTTCAACCCTGAGCGAATAACCACAGCGAAAATACGTGAAAATACTATGTTTACGTTGACCGGAGTACTGTAAAGCAAATGTCGACCCCGTGCTCTTTTTAATAATTAAATCGTCTTTTTCCATCCTGATGCCAGAGTCGGTCTTTCCTTGAAGCGAATCACAGCCCTCCACTCGCTGCCTCATGAAATCTCCTTTGTTTTCTCAAAGGAGCTTTCGCAAGCTCCGCGATCGACTCTGTATGCACGGCCGTCCCTCCGTAAGCACTCGCTCGACGGGGCCTCGACTCGACAAAGGAGACGCGCACAAACGACAGCAGTGACGAGGTGGAGAGCACTAGCTGGTGGCTTAGGCAGAGGCACGCATGTGTCAACCAAGATACCTATAACCGGAGACTTTGACTCCGCTTATAGGCACACCATGGGTACATGTGTGTGTGTGTGTGTGTGTATATACTTTGACCAGCGGCACCGGTACGTTTTGGTCCTATCGGGGCTAATGAACTGGAGCTTTCGGGCGCTTGTGCTTTATAGTATATATATGTTGGTTGATTGGCTTTGGGGAAAACATTATTTTGTTTTGTCTTCGAACGTATGTAAACTGTTCAGTCGCGTGGTTAGAACAAAATTTGTTTGAAAATAACCAGTGTCAATTTCTTATAAAACAGTCAATTTGATGTACTTTGCTTGGCGTCTTGTGGTATTTGAAAAACAAAATATCCGTAGGCAGCTTCTGATTTTTTAGTTAAGGCCCTTTCCTTTTCAGTCTACGATGGATATAAATTGTAAAAAAAAAGTATAATCTGTTCTGTAATTTGATTCGAGCCGAGACGAGAGTTAATTCATCCCCCGCAAGTGGCTCATTACAGACCTTCTTCTTGGCTTCGTCGCGTTTATCCAGCATCACGACTACAAAATCCTCGGTGTGTCTGCCTCCGCTTGTACAATAGAGTCCGCAGACAATGAGATGCCGGGGCGAGCCCGTTGACAATACCGCGCAACTGCTACAGTTGCATCAACTCTGCATGTGAAGATTTTTTTTTTTTCGTAAAAAATCTCGACCGTACATGAATGGAATAAATTAACGAATGCCATTGGTAGATTTTTTCATTTTAAACAATTACATCTTTTGAATTCACATCTTAACCATTTTTTTTTTTTTTTTTTTTTTTAACAATCAATGTGTACATTGTTGTAGAATCTGCAGACTGATTGACACTAGTTTAAAAAAAACTGTACAGCGCGTGAGCAAATCAAAGATTCCTACTCCATCTGGACATGCACTTGATGGAAAAATTGTTCGTTTGTTTTATGATGATACTTTCAAATCTTACTTTAGGAGATTGACGTATTCGCCAGATGGTATGCTTCTTTTAGTACCTTCAGGCATTATAGAACATCAAGAATCGGCAGAAAAAATTGTCAACTGTATACATATATTTTCCAGACATACTCTACGAGAGTAAGTAAACTTTTACAACTTGATTTTTTACTGTTTAACTTTTTTAGGCTTACTGATACATAGTTTACATTAAAGACCCATAGCTGTTCTTCCTTCTCATGAAGAAGTGACAAATGCTGTCAGATGCTGTCCTATGTATTTCAAATTACGAAAAGAAGGTCCTTCCTCTATGATGGATTTACCATACAGGATGGTATTTGCCGTTGCAACAGATAAATCTGTTATGATATACGATACTCAGCAAATTTCACCCATTGCAGTCATTTCCAATATTCATTACACTCGGGTGACAGACATTGCTTGGTGAATAAATAAGAATAAAAAAATTTTAATAATGATATTACTGTATTATTACAAGTAACATTACGTTTTTTAAGGTCTTCTGATGGAAGAATACTAATTGCTTCATCTTCCGACGGTTACTGTTCAATAATTCATTTTGATGAAGGAGAACTGGGAGAAACTTACGAAAAAGCTCCAGAAATCGTAGAGCCAAAGAAAAATGAAGTTAGACAAGATACAAAAGAAACAAAATCATTGTTGGATACAACTTTAGATCAAAGTACAAATGCCATTGATATTGATATTTCTCAGGAAAAATCCAAGGAAATTTTAAGCAGCGAAAAAGAAATGCAATCTCCTAAGGAGAACAATACTGGAAAAAAAATAACACCTCTAAAAGAGAACAAAAACGATACAGAAATGAAATCTCCCAAGAAAAATGAAGAAGAAAAGATAAGTGCTTCAGAAATCAAACAGAAAGAAAACAATGATAATACCAATAATGCATCTGCAGATGATGAGGATGATTTTCATTTAGTGTTGGAAGACACCATCACGGATACTGATAAATTGAAAGCCACTCCACCCAAGACTAAAGAATCAGAAAAGCCGGCGACGCCCATTGCGGCAAGGACACCTCGGAGGGTATCTCTGATAACTCTCTCGAGTCCAAAGGGGAAAAAGTTGTAACTCTCGCGTGTAAATTATGTATGTATAATATTTTATATTTAATTTTAATAAAAATTCGTTTA